AAAAAATATTATCATTAAATTATATAATTTATTTTTTTATAAAAATTAATTATAAAATATATTTATTATATTTTTATTTAAGAGCCTTCAACCTAAAGGCAAAGAAAATGAATATAGTGGTTGTACACTAGTGGGAACATGAGGCTTTTGCTTGTTCGTTCCCCAAATCCAAAATTAGGAAATTACCTTTTTGTCAAAGTAATAATCATGACAAAGTAAATAAATAAAGTAATGACTGTACTGGCAAGGGAGATGGAATCTCTGGATAAAAGACAGACGACGCTGCTTCTCTCTCAAAACAGAGTACACAAAAAAGAGCTGCTCATACATAGAGAGAGAGAAAGAGAGAGGGAGGAGAGGATTCTTCATTCCTGGCCAAGAGTATGGCTCAAACTTGCAGCTCCGCAGGGTGGATATGGGTCTCTGTGATGCTTCTTCTTGCTCATTTCACCTCCACTGCATCCGTCGAAGACGGTATGTATTCTCTGTTTCTTCTTCTGTTTCCCTCCTTTTGCAACTTCATTGTTTTTTGGGTTCGTGTAATTCGACGGTATTTCCTTTTTTATTATATTTGCTTTTATGGGTTTTGTTGTTTTTGAGATCCGTAACCTTTCTAGCAATTTTCAAAATTTTTCTGCGTAATTGGCATTCGATGTGGGAGATTAACTTGTAACAACGATGAAATTGCATTTCTGCAATTCTAGAGAATAGGCTAAAGAAAAGACAGTTGAATGTGCACAAGCAGTAACATTTTGGAGCAGAAAAATTAAGCAGAAAGATTAAGTTTCATTCTGAGTTCTATCCTGAGTTTTCCCCCTTTTATGAACTCAGTACTTTACTTTCCCACTTAATCCCTTTTCTCCAGTTCAATGTCCTTATTGTTTCAAGTCTGTGGTGAGGATTAGGTTCTCTTTACTGAAATCTGAATCTGGACCTGAATAAAGGTTTTATAATTAGTGGGTATCAACTCGATTAAGTTTCTGTTAGTAGCTAGTACTGAGTCTACTGACTAATGCGCGCAAAGCAACACAGGTTTAAACCCCCTCACCTTAATCTCATATTGATATTAGGATATTAGAGTTTGTTATTTAGCAGTGCAGATTATATCAAACTACAAAACAAGAGTAGAATGCACAACACTCTCTTTGTTAGGACTAATGTTTTGGAGTTAGTATGGGCATTAACTCAGTTAAACTCATTAGTATATAACTAGTAAGGAAGTTCAAACCCCTAATTTTAATTTTTAAATCAATATTTTGAAGTTTACAGATAACTCGTAGATACCAATAGCTGATACCAATAGCTGAACTAGTTAGTACTAAACTACTAATATAGTGATTTTGTTTTTTGTGAGATAAAGAGGGCAGAATCTTTTACCTTGCCTAGTGAAGTCTAGTCTAGCTAAGGGTCCTCAGCGTTGTTCATAACTTTTGATTTTAGGTTTAACTAATTGATTGGGGTACTGTATGTAATTTGAAAATGAGATAACTATGATTTTGGTCTTCGAGCTTCAAATTGCCTGTCCCACCAGAATTGATTATTAAGATCTTTCTGCACTTTAAGTCAACAATCCATGGCGGTTTTTCCTCCTCCTCCTCCATTATTTGTTCATTCCTTTAGTTATTCCCTTCCTTTTCATCCATTTCTCAGGCTACTTTAATGGTGGGTGGTGTCTCATTGTCTAAGACATATACTCATTTTTGTTAACGAGGTAATATAGAGAGACCCCACAACATTTAGCTTAGTTTATTAGTAATTCCCTAATCATTGTCGTTTCTGCTATCATCAATGTTCTTGTCTATATCTTGGGTAGATCACTGCCCTGAGAGTTTCCATTTGATTTAGTAGCATTGGAATGCTCTATGTGAAACCATGGTGGGAAAATTTTAGTTTGTTTAATTAAATTCAATTCATTAACTTTTCACCTGAATTGGCTTCAATGCTCAAACCAGGTCAATCAGCACTAAATGAATCTATCTGATATTGGTGTATTATATAAATGAGTGGCACACTAAATAACACCGTGAATTCATAGTTGTATTTTGGTACATTTGACAATGATATGTTATATCAAGAAAAACTCTCTTCCTTTACAAATTTCTTCATATCCACCTCATGGTTGCAATATGAGATTTTTAATTAGAAATCCATTACTTAATAATTTAAATAGTAATTTAAAAAATTTAGATTATATTAAATTACACAATATAAATTATTAACTCAAAAGCTTTATGAAAACATGAATAGGTGTCTCAAAACTTTTGTGTTTTACTATCCCAAATGAAATGTTTTAAAAATTCAATTTTGATTAAATTAATCATAACTAGGATCTAGGAATGAGAAAAGGTGACCCATTGCGTGATTTCACTAAAAAAAGAGAAGTGAGAAAGGTAAAGGAATTGATCCACTGATAAAGGAAGGGGACCGGGGGGGACCTGTATCTGTATGCAATTGCCTTTCTTCTTTTTTTTTTTCATCTTTCTACCTGTCCTTCCAGGAGATCTGTGAAATGACTAAATAGGAAAGATATTCCCGCCAAACCTCGAGTCCCCTTCAGACAAATCCCCGTTTGTTCCGGACAATAAGGACACTGTACCCAAATATTTTATGAGTCCCACTTTCCGGCATCCAGCTCACTTACCTCTGACTTCTTCCATCTGCACCGTTTTATCATGGGGTCGAGGCAGTGAGGACTTCCAGTAGAAAAGAAGGGCCGAAAGGTTGAGTTGGTCCCCCACACCACAGTTAGTACACTCCGATAGTCCATTTTTATTCCCTTTCAATGGGACGGGTCCTATTTATATTTCTGCCGTGGCTTAATCACAGTCGTTCTCGTCCCAACCGTAAATGATAGCTTCTTTTCTGTCTTATTAATTTAGTACTAGTATTTTTTAAGGGTTCATCTTGAAGGGTTTATTTATTTTTAATCACTAATAAAGATGTTGCAAAAAAAAAAAAAGATGTTATAATATTAAAAGAGAAAAGGAGAAATTAGGATATTTTAATATTAAAAATATTAAAAAATTTACTTATAACTATTAAATATGTGAAATATAATGTGTTTTAATTTTTTTAAATTTAAAATTAGAAAAAAAAAAATTGATATACGCTTAATTTAATATAATTTTTAATATTTATTTTAATTTAATTATGAAAATATAATATAAATTTATTTATATATATATTTTTTGTAAATATATTAACAATTAATTTTTACTTATTCAACCTAATTAGCTAACCCAATACTAATACAACTTAAATTTCACAACCCATTCTTTTTTCAATTTTCCCAAACCTAATTGTCAAATCCAGCCCATTCTTTTTGTCAATCTAGTCTTCCTAAACCTAATTACCCAACCCAATTTGTATTGGTAACCCTAGAAGGACTATCAAAAGATTTCAATTTCAGATTTGTGATTCCTCTTCTCTAGTCGTCTCGTGGCTATTTCTACTCCTCAATTCTCATCTGTGACTCCCTTCAAGCTCTCACCATCACTACCCATTGTGCAACCACTACAACGCTAATCTTCTCCCATCTCTCACTCACACTCAACTTGATAACTCTTCTCCAATCTCTCAACTAGTTGTTGATAACTCATCTCATTCTTGACATCCCTCATTATTACCATTGAAATTGATAGTGGCTGGTTGCTTGCCTAAGTTGCCTCCACAGCTCCATTCACACTCACAGCTCACCTCTAGCTCCAAGACTCAGGTCATCCTCTCAAGTCCTTTGAATCGTAGCTCACAAATTCTTCCTCTACAGCTCTGCCTCTTATTCTCTTCAAACTTTCCAACTCCAGGTCAGCAGGTCTTCCTCACCTCACACTCACAGCACACCTATTATGTTTGAAATTCAAGTTCTAACAATGATGAGAATTTCTTCAATCTATTTGAGGAGTTGGAGGAGAATGATGATGAGGATGATGAGTCTAGAGTAAATTTTAAACAATAATATTTCTTTTTATAAATTATTATATAAAGAATTATTCCTAAAATTTTGTTAACTTGGGATACTTGTTTTTGTTTCAGGAAGTTATTTCCGCAACTTAAAATTATTGATCAAGCTTAGCTTAAGTTGCTGTTGCAGAGTTTGCCTTGCTAGATTGGATAGATGTGTATGCATGTACCACTTACTAGACTCTTTTATGCCTTTTTTCTTAATGAACTTATTGCTGTACATGCATGGTAGCAATTTATGCATTTTTTCCTATGAACTTTGCTAATAACAGTTGCAATTTATTTTATTTTATTTTTATGAATCTTTTGTTGGATTTGCTAGACTTATATGGTAGTTTATGCCT